GAAGAGACTTTAATCTGTTGTTCTACGACGGTGTTAATATGTGGAGATTATCCTGCTGAACAAAACGTGTAAGTATCATAAACGTTTGTTTGCCACAGATTTTATTTTCTGCAATAATGATCCAATCCAAAATCCAATGAAATAATACCATTGCTTTTTGCCGAGGGAGCCCTTTGAGATGCTAACTACAGAAACACATAATCCCTGCACCACCAGGAAAAACATGAAGATATAAATAACATCAGTTAGATGCAGGTTGCAGCTGGAGGGAATTTATTTCCACTTAATATTGTACAGTTCTGTTTCCTAAATCGTTTACAGCATTAAGGGGAAGCAATAAAATGTCAGAGAGCGAAAAGGAGAACACAAAAACACATGCTGGAGATAATTAGTACGCCATAAACCAAGGTCGCAGTGAAACGAGCAACTAAACGATCAGCAATATTCCGTTAAGTCACAGGTCATGAACTCTTTCTCTCGGACTGCGTGCATACACACTCACTCACACACATCTTTCTGTGGGCATGCAAAACGGAGCCTAAAGCCCAGCCTCAGGCAGGGTCTTAAAGGTCACGATCTCCACGCCACTTTAGAAGGTCACGCAAAGTTCATGACACAAGCCTGACCATATTTGGCTGCTGGCTCTCTTAAAGGCTTAGAGCTGAAATTTGAAATGATGGAGAGGGAGGGAGGGAGAAAAAACAGTAACTGGAATGTTCATTGGTTGCAGCTGGTCATCGTTGGAGCAATATGGACCTGGGCTTAATGCAGGAAGTGTGTGTGTGTGTCTGTGTGCATACACATGTGCATGCATGTCAGTGTGTTTATCCGTGCATGCGTGTGAGGGAAGAGGAACGAGATATTGTGTTAATATGGACCAAAAGCGCAGACTTTTCCAGATACATGTGTCTGTGCAGAGTGTGAGTCTGAAAAATAAACACGTGCATGCAAGCCTCTGACCTGCGTGCGTGTCTGCATGCATGCGACTGACGGAGATATTAGAGCAATATGAAAAAGCTTAAGCCGGAAGCATGGGGCTACAGGATGAAACCAGTGTGTGGGGACCAGAGAGGCAGAGAGGGGCGTTTCAAACTACAGAAGGGATCACAACTTTTAAAAATGAACCTAGAAATAGATAAGAAATAGATTCTGAAAAGCATATAGTGTCACTTTCTGTGGAAAGTTAAGTGTCACTAACTCAGACAAAGTGACATTTAAAATGATATCCTTTGCAGTTTTGAAATATTTCACTTCAGGTTGTTTAAAATACTGACATGTAGAGGCACATTGCAGCCCAGTAACACCAGTAACCGTTTCTCATGTGCAGAAATAATGCTTCCGCAGTGTAAAAGAGATTGGAAGAAGTGAAAATAACACAGACGTCTGTTACAAACCTTGATTGAAAAATAATCAGAAAAAGGCAATTTTGTAGATCATTGCAAAGCTGCATGTTTCTCAGTTTGGGAGTGTTTAACTACCTAATTTATCTACAAAGAAAACCCCCTTTTGACAGAAGGAACTATTCAGATTGGGAAGATTTAATGAGCTTATTTCAAATTGATGTGTGTGTTCGTGTGAGTGGGTGCACATTTGAACTTTATGAGACCCAAATGAATAATAAATGATGTTGAATCTGTTTGAGAAGCCTCATATTCATTCACAGTCTTTTTTTCTCCATTTGCATGTGTTTTGGCACATTTGTGTTTTTATATTTGCAACTGCAGCACGTTTCTCCTAATGGAAGTGTTTTGGGCCGTTGTTGCGCGTCTGCACCTGTAGGCCACCGTAACTTTAGCTTAAAACGCACATACACACACAAATAGTCTTTTTGTGACTGCAACGAACATCAGACATCTTTACTCCTTCGAATAATTCAAAGTTCTGTGGTTGCTCTTTTTGAGGCTATACCTCTGTCGTTATCTATATATCTAGCGCACATCCTTATTTCTGCAACCTCCTCTCTTCCATCCTTCTCCTGCTCTCCTAACCCCTAACCCTCCTCCTCCTCATCGAACCCCAGCCAGCAGGTCTACAGAGTAAAGCTTCACTGTGTGCCAGCAGCCATTCCTGGAGGGCAGTCAGGCAAACAGACCCAGCCAGTGCCCGCTGCATGACTCACAGACAGAGAGGGAGAGGGGGTAGAAACATTAAGATGAGAGGGCAAACATAATGTTAAGCTGCTAAGAGCTGATGAGAGGGGGCAGGTTGGAAAAAGAGATTGAAAAAAGAAAGGGGAGAAGCTGTAAGAGAGATTAAGAGGGGGGTAGAAGAGAGAGACTGGGAGATAGAGAGGGATGGGGGCAAATGGAGGGCAACATGCACGATGTTTGCATGCACACAGAGGAGCAGACAGGCACGCAGCTCAGAGCAGGCACGAAGAGAGCAAAATAACTCCTCCCCCTCCTCCCTGTCTATATCCCTCTCCCCACCTCCCTTCTCTCTATCTCCCTGCTTCACCTCTCCCCTGCTAAAAGCTCAGCAGGACAGTCCTGCATGACACAACGACCGAGCAGAGAGCAACGGGAGGCAGAGAAACAGAACGGAGTTGGGAGTAAAGGGAGAGATGAGTGGTCACACACACAGTGAAGCTTAAAGAGGACACATTCAAATCATTTTTCAGGTTCATATTTGTATTTTGTGCCTCTGTGACATGTTGCCATGCTTTAATGTTTGAAAGGGTCTCATTTTCTCATTCTAAATATTTGAGGTACTACTTTACATATCTTTCACTTGATGCTACTTTATACTCTTACACCACTACACTTTGTAGTCAAATGTACTTTTGACTCCACTTATTTTACAGCTTAGGTTAAGCTACCGTTCAGTATATTAAGTTGTTCAAATAAACACCATCTTTTCAAATTCCCTACTAAAATTCACACAATGAATACTTTTACTTTTGGTACTTCAAGTATAATTTGATACTAAACCTTTTTTTTGTATAATAGTATTTGTACCAAGTGAGTGAGGGTTTGAATACTCCACGATGAGCACTGCTTTACAAAATGTATTTTTTTTCCCCATAGAATTATTAAATATATATATAAGCATTACTAAATAAATAAATTAGAGAAACATTGAGGGATAATAATGCCACCCAACCCAGTCTTGCAAAATAAAATAATTTAGTACTTCTACTTAATTTGAATGTTGTAACTCGTAACAGAGTATTTTTACAATCAAGTTAAGCTCCTTTTATGATCAGAGCACTTCTTCAACTTGTGGACAGGAGGGAGAAATGTGTGTGAGGAATGAGAAGTGAATGAGCTTCAGAGGAGGAGGAAGGAGGGGTGAGGAGGAAGGAGGGGTGAGGAGTGAGTCTGCTGTGCCCCATGTGTGAGTCTCTGGGCAGGGTAACACTGCTCCCTCGGCCTCCGTCCCTCTGGACCGCATTAGACATGGCGCTCAGATAATACACTGCTGGGGATGTGTGGGAGAGCGGACGGGGGGGTCAGGGGGCTGAGCACGGGAAAATTCTTCCCCGACTTTAATACCACTGGACCAAGACAAGAACAAATAATCAGACTCTAAACCGCTGACTGCAAAACATCACGTAGCTCACATCCAGAGCAGCATGTGGCTCAGTTATGGAAAACACACACACTTCAACTCTCAACGGTTGTCGTATCGGCCAGGAGTTCTTTGACATAATTATCCCACATTTCGGTAAATACACTCATTACAAGGCTTATTCAATTTGGACATTCTGTGGTTTGATATTTTTTTGCTAGCGGACCATTGCTAAGCAGGACGCTCGGGTCAATGTGCTGTCATATCAAGTAAACGCTAAAGGGAACAGCAGAAGAAGACAGACAGGACGTAAACACTAAAGGGAACAGCAGAAGAAGACAGACAGGAAGTAAACACTAAAGGGAACAACAGAAGAAGACACTAAAGGGAACAGCAGAAGAAGACAGGCAGGACGTAAACACTAAAGGGAACAGCAGAAGAAGACAGGAAGTAAACACTAAAGGGAACAACAGAAGAAGACAGACAGGAAGTAAACACTAAAGGGAACAGCAGAAGAAGACAGACAGGAAGTAAACACTAACGGGAACAGCAGAAGAAGACAGACAGGAAGTAAACACTAAAGGGAACAGCAGAAGAAGACACTAAAGGGAACAGCAGAAGAAGACAGGCAGGACGTAAACACTAAAGGGAACAGCAGAAGAAGACAGGCAGGACGTAAACACTAAAGGGAACAGCAGAAGAAGACAGACAGGAAGTAAACACTAAAGGGAACAGCAGAAGAAGACAGGCAGGACGTAAACACTAAAGGGAACAGCAGAAGAAGACAGGCAGGACGTAAACACTAAAGGGAACAGCAGAAGAAGACAGACAGGAAGTAAACACTAAAGGGAACAGCAGAAGAAGACAGACAGGAAGTAAACACTAAAGGGAACAGCAGAAGAAGACAGACAGGAAGTAAACACTAAAGGGAACAGCAGAAGAAGACAGACAGGAAGTAAACACTAAAGGGAACAGCAGAAGAAGACAGACAGGAAGTAAACACTAAGGGAACAGCAGAAGAAGACAGACAGGAAGTAAACACTAAAGGGAACAGCAGAAGAAGACAGACAGGAAGTAAACACTAAAGGGAACAGCAGAAGAAGACAGACAGGAAGTAAACACTAACGGGAACAACAGAAGACAGACAGTAAACACTAAAGGGAACAGCAGAAGAAGACAGGAAGTAAACACTAACAGGGATTTTAAGTTGCGTTGCTGTTGGCAGAGGAACGGACTATTATTTCTTCGCGGAAGCAATACGAAAAATGTTAAATAAATATTGTGAATCATATCGTTGGTTTATTTATTTCGTAGACGTGTATAAAAAATATAGATGTGTAGCGTATTGTCCTTTCTGTTACTTTTAAAAATACATTAGCCCCCCAAAAATGTAATCGTTCCATCTAACTCTAAACAAACTTACAAATATAGCCGCTTTTATACATTAAATGTGATTTGACATGATCTGAATAAAGCACAAAAACATTAAATCTTTTTTTCTTTTAGATTCTTTATTAAATCAATGTTACATTAAACTAACATAAATAATTTTTTTATGAACAAAAGGCACACAGTTCAAATATAAACAAAGAGGACGTCTGTACAGTTTCAATAAAACATGTCTACTGTCTCTGAGAGAGAGAGCGGTCCAAGAGAGATGAGTTCCAGGGGGGGGGGTCTCAGCGGGAAACGGGTCACTCTTCAGCCCCCCCGCCAGGAGCTGAAACGGAGGGCACAAAGGCATAAACGCTGACCAGGCACAGCACTGGTGTGAAACCTCTGCCGGGAGGTTTTCTTTTTCTACGGATGTGTAAAAGTCCCGCCGAAACTCTCGTTCAATGTCCGACTGAAGAGGCCACGAGATCCGTTTCCACTAAATTAAAAAACACGCAGCACAAAAAAAAAAAAAATGGTCCGGAGGCAGGGTAAACACTCACGATGATTTGTTGTAAGAGAATGACGGGGGGTTAATGTTGTGTTGCTGCTTCCTGGGGATAATACAGCCGGCTTCACAGTACTGGCAGGACGCTCCCTGTCCTGATGGGAGTTCAGTTACAGCCATACGACTACAGTCAAAACACGGTACGACGACTCAGTTTTCCTGCTTCTGCTCCAAAATAAGGTCGATAAAATCCTGTGGTGATCACCGCTAAACTCCTGTCAAGCAAAGTCCAGTCCGGTGTGGTCGCCCACCTCTGAACACTGGATGGTGTCGTCCGTTTGTAGGTCCAGTTTTGTCCAGTCTGATCCGCTTCCTTACAGTCCAGTCTGATCCAGTTGTCATTTCCTCGACTGTCGGAGCGGCAGATGTTTGAAGCTCAGTCCGACAAAGAGATTCCAATAGAGTCCGTTTCAGCAACAGCTAAAAGTACTCTAAATATCACCTTGTGAAACTGTTCCTTTTGCATCTGAGGTGGGGAAACTCCGCCCGCCTGGCACCGTGACAGACTGTAAGGTGAGGGGTTTCCAGATTCAGACAGTCCCAGGTCTGACGCTCACACGGCGACGGTGCCCGGTACCTCCTCGTAGTGGATGATGAAGTACGGGTAGCTCTGGTCGTCGTTGAAGATGACGTAGATCTGCGGGTCCACCCAGTTGTCCACGCAGGAGTCGTAGAGGTCACTGGAGGGGTCGCGGAGGTTGATGGGTGGGGGTCGTCGCATGGAGGGATTTCCTACAGTAAACCTGCATAACAATAGAAGAAGAGGAGAGTAAGTTAAAGAGTCTCTATTATGGGGGGGTTCTCTTGTTTCGGAGCTTTTTGAGCATTAAAGCATGGAGACATGTCACAGTAGAGACACTAATCACTAATATGAACCTGAAAACCAGCACCAAATGTCCTATTTAAATGATACCTGTTCAGCAATGGTTTTGGTATTTTAATTATATAACTAGAAGTCTGAGAGTTACTCTAGAATAATTCAACTTCTTATAAAGGACTGGAATACATTTGCTGATTACAAGGCTGCTGCTCGTCTGTGTGTTTTAGGGCACTTTAAATAATATAAGCATATGCCGTAAGTGCACGAAACAAATGTAGTATATGAACTGAGCAAGCACATTGTAAACCAGATTGTTTTTCCCTCTCTTAAATATTAATGACAAACCCTAAAGACTTCCATAAATCTCCATCTTTGTTCCACTTTCCATCGGTCATACATAAATCATATTCAAATAAGAACATTTTAAGCTACAGACAGAGGAGGGGGGGGTTCAGTGCCAGATAGTGTTTCAGTTAACCCTCGCTGTGCAGATAACTTCTTGGTCTGGAGGGGGGGGGCGAGTGAGCTGGGGGAGGTCTGATGGGTGCAGCCAAATCAGCTGTTTTACATGTGTGGAGGAGATTTGACTTGTTTTAAGGGAGTAGCGTGGCCCATAGCGTGACTGAATGATGGTTTATGGAAAAGTAGCTCCGGATTTCCATGATCCAAATTAATAGTCATGTGTGCTGTACATGAATCTTGATAACACATGTGTTAAAGGGAACTTATTCACATAAATACATAGAATTAGGGACACTAAAACACGTAACCCCTAATAAAAAGAAAATAAACTATGTCAAGAAATACTAAAGTCAATAAATAATCTTTTACAGATTCTAATAAAATATCACTAATAATAAAAAAGCAGCACATTTTCCTAACTTAAGGGGGCTAAAAAAACAGCATTTTCTGCTATTGTTGTCTGAAAAATAACTCAAATATTTGACATTTAAAATAAACTACTCGTTACAGCCTTAATCTAAAATGACAAATACTGAGATAAAACAATAGTTCCCCATCACCAACACATTTTTTTGCAGCAGTTATTATTTATTTTCATATAGATTAAAAATAAAATGTCCATCCTTGTTTCTCAAAGATATGTCTTTTTTGTCCGTCTGTAAACTGAAAATAAAATAAAAGTGGAAAATGTTCCTAATTTAGGGTACATTTTGCACTTTCTGCATGAATAATAACCTCAAAATACTGAACATATATTTTCATCTTGCCAATTAAACTACTAGTTGTCCCAGCCAAAATCTAAATAGGGATATAAAATTAACAATACAGTGATAAACATTAATACCCTATCATCAACACCTTTTTTTGCAGTGATTAACGTGCAAAAGAGAAAAAAAAAATCTTGTCAACCACATCACATCACACACACACACACACCTTCCAGTGAGGACTTTGGCCAGGAACATGCAGTGGACTCCTTTGGGCGAGCGCTTGGAGAAGTTGTGAGAGTAGACAGCTTTGCGGGCGAAGTAGGACCCCTGTCCGAACATGGTGGCGTGTTTCCCGCACACCCGGGGGTCGAAGTTGTGTTTGCAGATCCCCTCCACCACGTCGGCCGAGGTGCCGTGGAATAGGTGCCGCTCGCTCAGCAGCCGGTCCATCTCAGACAGACGCCGGGACATATACTCCTTCTTCCTGTGGGCAGAGAGGGAGGATTGTTAAATATTATTATTATTCATTTTAACAAGACAACATTAGGGCCATGTATCATTACACCAGGGTTACAATTAATATCTTGAATTACATGGTGAGAAGATTGTATTTAATTTTTATAAATCACATTTTTTAGTCATTCACCTTAGTTGACAAAATTCCTTTTTTCATGCAATTAAAAAAAATCTGTATTTACAATCATTTAACTCTGTGAATGTAAAAATACATTTTAATTCCACACCAATGTAATCACATTCATTCATCACAATGTTTTAAAAAGCAGAAAATCTTTTTTATTGAAGAGACAAAAAAAATTCCTGCCATTTTTGCATGGAAGATTCTTTAGAAAAATAATCTCCAGTGTTTGGATATTATATTCAGCCCCTTGACAATAAACATTAAAATGTCAAAACGTTCTGTACTCTTCTTCTTGATGAGACTCGGCTCACAGACAGACCATCGCTCAGGTGATGAACTACAGCTGCAGCAGTCACATCCACAAAAGTTGTGACCACAGCCTTGTTTACTATCGACTGGCTAAGAACATGTGGCCTAATCTGTTTCTTAAGCAACACACACACACCAACGGATCAATCCGCCATGTGGAGGTGAAAGCGTGTCAGAGCAGAGACTAGGCTGTGACCCCGGCGTGACCTCCTGTGACTCTGGGGGCTTTTGATCACACACACTGCACGCAGCAAATCATTAACACACATACACACACTTTCAATATCATATTATCCATTTTTGCGTTGAAGCTGTTCAACTTCCTTTCTTTTAAAAAAGCAAACACACGCAAGCTAGCAGTTATAGCTTCCCTTTCATAAGTGTGGGAAGAGGAAATCAACTGATATTCAGACACACACACACAGGCAGTGCTAGTCATTGTGAAAGCCTGTGGTACCAGGCAGTGTGAGAGAGTATAACTGTCACAGCTGATGGTGGCAGATCATTGTGACCGCAGCGGTTGCGACAGGAAAGTCATCCTCTCCAAACATCTCCCTCTCTTCATGTGTTCATTCAACACTGCCAACGCTTTCTCACGTAGACACACACACAAACACACAGGCAGGCTCTCATTCGCCATATTCCTCTGTCGCCCTCTCCTCACATTGTTCCTCATGCACCCTGTGTTTGTCGTCCACAAATGATGTTTCTTTGCAAGTCAATATGCAGCTGTGTTGGAAGTATTTTGAGATCAACAGAAATCTGGATCAAAAGCGTAACAATAAAATGTTTGCGCCACAGCGGCAGAGGAACCAAAATGTAACCACACCGCTCTGACATCTTGCTACAACTTTAGCACCACTTCGGGCAATAACAACATCCCATAAACATCAACATGACAAACATCTCTGTGCTTGCCCACCACTTATAATCATAGCATGCTCATGACATAAGAGCTCCAGCAGTTAAGCAGAGTAACCTTTAATAAAACAGCCACAGATGCGTCAAAGGTCACACGCCACAGCTGCAACACACAGCACATTGTAGAAGTGTGACACTAAGACCACAGTGAACTTTAAAAGGTTTTGAGATAAGGCGCCATTGGTTATGATTGATGGAAACGCTGCATGATTCTGAGTTTAGATTAAGAGATGATCAGTAAAATCTCCCGCCTCCAGCTCGTTCAAAACGCTGCTGCTAAGAATAACCACATCACAACAATTCATGCTTCCTCACACTGGCTACCTGAGAGGCCTTTCTCCGAGCTATTCATCAAAACCTTTTTATTGCTTTATGTCCCTTACCGCTACTGTCAGGGCTCTTAAACTTTAAAACGACCTGCCTGAGGAGATCAGGGCTGCAAACACTGTCTGCTCTAATAAAATAACACTTAAAAAGAATTGCTTTCATGTGATTTTTATTTATCTTTTATTAATGTTTGTTTTACTCTCTGTGTTCTGAAGAGTGGGGCAGGAACGAGTCCTCAAACCCGGGAATGACTTAGCGTTGTGTTGCTAATAACAAGTGTCTAAATAAGACTAAACGTCATCACGCCAAACATTAGCCTCCTTTAGCTTAACGGACGTGAAGTCATGTGACCGTGCTGTAGTTCCTTTATAGCCTAATGTTAGCTTTTTACTTCAAAAATCATAAAGTGGTGATGTGTGAAAATTATCCTGCTGAACAATACTTAGTTTAAAATGTGTATTATTAATATTATGATAATAAAAAAACTAGTAAGTATACAAAGGTACAAGGCTCCTGGACTCACCTCTTGTATTTCTCCCAGAGGAAGGGGTTCTGTACTCGCTGGATCTTGAGGATCCTGAACTTGGTCTCTGACACTGTTTTGTGGAAAAGGCTGTAAACCGTCCGGTAGCTCCGGTCCTCGCGGGACACCGGCACCTGCAGGAAGTCCTGGCTCATCGTCATGGGCAACCACGTCTCCGGGAAAAGGCTGGGGGGGTTGGTGGTGGTCGGCGAGAGGGGGTGCGACACGGAGAGTTCCATTGACGAGGACAAAGAGGAGGATGAGGAGGTGAGGGGAGATGAAGGGAGGGCACCCAAAGTCCTAGAGAAACAGAGAGAGAAAGGGTGTTCAAATTAAACAATTGTCACACTCTTTAAAAGTTTGTGATACATATATTTTTTTGCTTTTTTCCGTTAAAAGTGGAAATGTTTATTTTATTTTTCATTTTATTTTGTTGCAATATTAAAAAAAAGTATAAATGTCGTGCTAATGATGGGAAATGGAGACCCTTAAATGTTGAGTACACGTACCATTATTTCATTTAAATAACTTGCAATCAAAAAGTCAGAGATCAACAGCTTGGTTTTACCATTCTTTTATATTTAATGTCTAGCAGTTCATTTTCAGAGGATTTTCTACCTCAAAATAACTATACATGCTGCAGCACAGGCAGTATGACAACAAATAAATACCTCTTTGAACATTAAAGCATGTAAACATGTCACAGGAGGGGCACAACATACACATTTGAACCTGAACATGAGCATAATATGTCCTCTTTAATCTCAAACTATAAACGAGTCATCACAGTCTCATCTCAACACTCCTTTCTTCATTCCCATATGTTTCCAATCAAAGCTGCATTGCAACGTTAAACTAAACCGCCGTCTGCTGCAACACGTCCACAATCGCGTTGCTCCAACTCTCAACAATGACATCACCGCTCCACAGCAGCCGCCACCGACCAAACAAAACAGCAGGGAATGAAACGAGACCCCCGACAAGACAACAGGGAGGCGAGTGAGAACAGAGAGGACAGAATAAAAAAGCCAATTGCGGAGCTGTCATGAAAGTGACGAAAAAAGCTATTGTGGCAGTCGATAACAGTGGTTTAGCTGTCACGTTATCGCTAAGTGTAAATGCTGTTAGCCCTTTCAGCCGTGTGTGTGTGTGTGTGTGTCGTCAGAAGACTGTGATCAGCGAATCTCTGAGACAGTTTTCTCATCTCTCTTTCTCCCTTTCATCTCATCTGTCCGACCTCGATCTCTCTCCCAAAATCGATGTCTCCATTCCCCCGTGAGAGAGATCACAGCACAGACTGCGGCAGAAAACAAGTGTGAAATGAGAAAGGGACAGATAACAAGAGAGTGATGGAGATGCAGAGAAATGAAAAGAGTGAGAGGGAGAAAGTATGGTGCGGTGACCGGGGGAGGGAGAGATGGCTGAAAATAACATCGTCGGGGGGGGGAGAGGGATGACGGAAGGAGAGGGAGAGAGGCGGGAGGGTGCCAATCAAGCTAATGACCTCAACCTCAAAGCCTAGCACACACTGTTCCTGATGCACACACACTTATATTGGTCACTTGCGAGGACAGGACACTGCATTGGAAAACAACTTGAGTCATCATTGTTCCTAAAGTGTGTGATCAGTTCCTGCTAAATGATTAATAAACACACTAAAAAAACAAATCAAAAAGTCCAAGGAACAAACCCCTCAAAATTCCAGCTCCTCACAGTTACACGTTAACACCGCTTCTCTCAGCCGCTCTCTACCCAGTCTGGAAACCATTTATTCCCTCTCTCTCTCTCTCTGCTTCTTTTCCTCTCGCTGTGCTCTCTATCCAACTGTCTCTCTCTCCCGTTTCCACCATGTCATTTTCTGCCTCCATCTCGCCTGCTCTCCATTTTGTTCCTCCTCTCTCGCCCGTCACTGGCCCTGCGGGAACAGATCGTGCTTGGACTGCAGCTGCCAGCTCGGACACACAGGAAGTGAAACACTCTGCAAACGGGGTGAGATGACTCCACTTGTTTCCAATCTGGTGTTTCAGGAATAAAACGGCAGCTGAAAGAGGAAACTTGCAGAAATGTCCTCAAAGAAAGTGATCAGATCTTATTCGCAGATTTTCTGACTAGTTATGAGACAAACGGGATTAAATATGTTCAAAAATATATTTTACTCTGCCTTTAACTAATCGCTCTACTCTCTCTGTGTACCTCTGGTCTCAATTGCCTCCTTATGTAATTATTCAGAGTCAGCCTTCACCCTTGTATTCTGCACAGGACAGGTCTGTTCAATGCACCAAAAACCTTTGTATAGCCGCATTGGAACGGATTAAAAAGATGAACGTGGTGTTCAGACAGTGTATTCAGCCCTGAATGCGACATTAGCAATGTGTACCGACCAGAGTGTGCCTGCGTGTCTCCTAACAGCGAGTCACAGAACACAGAGAGCCACAGAACACAGAGAGCCACAGGGAGACAGTGTATCACAAACTGAAGAGCTCACTGTGTGTGTGTGTGTGTGTGTGTGTGTGTGTGTGTGTGTGTGTGTGTGTGTGTGTGTGTTCGTGTGTGTGTGGCCAGTAACTAGATTCAAAGTCGAGGACACTGTTCTAATGCTAAATGGGGTTTCATATCCAAAATACGGAACGTTCTCTTACAAGGTGAACATCAGAGTGCTAAACGGCACTCAGCAAGGTTTGAACAGGAAATAATAGTTTCAAGTTCAGTTTCTATGCTTCATTTACCTGGAAGAACAAATCTGCAGATCCGCTGAAACTCTTTTAAATCCAAAGCATCAAAGCTCGGCTTTTTATATAACCATATCTTCTTATTTGAGGCAGTGGTTACAGTGATATCAGGTGTTAAATGTCTTCACTTACTGTAGGTGTGGTGTCAGCATCACAGAGGACATGAACATGGGCCTCTTCTTGATCTGCCGCCTGAACCCGAACACGGCGTTCTGCTGGAAGCCCTCCCTGATGTTGAGGATGTACTGGTTCTGCAGCGTAATGAAGCGCACCTCCTTGAGACCCCTCGTACTCGCCTCCTCTATGAGCTTCACCACCGGCTGTAGAAGAGGAAGAAGAGATTAGACTCTTTTGTTTATCATGTTGACTATTGTGCATTTTCATTCAACCGTGGAAGGAGCAAGAGAGAAATGTCGTGTGATGCGTGGGGCGATGTTCAGATAACAAAAAAGCTGATCTGATAACAACGTCATCATGGGACATACCTAACATTGATGGAAAACAGTCAATCTTTACTTGAAATAAACATCTTCCAGACCATAATGACATCACTATGTAACACTCTCTCTTCTATCAGCCAGCAAATTAATGTAGCAATTGTATCATGTAGAAGTGGTTGTGGTTCAATCTAAAGTGAGTTGGCAACATATATGGTGTATATGTATGTGTCTGTGTGTCTAAATGAATCCCATCACAGTGGCTAAACAATCAATTGGTGTCTGCCCTTGTGTTCATAAAGCGTACATATGAACACACACATAATTGCTTACCTCGGAGTATTCCCTCCAGCCAAAGTTGTCCCTGCAGTAGTACTTCCACACTGTGTGACAGCTGGGGGTGGGATTGGGGTTTGTTGTTGGCGCGGCGTGAGGGCTGGCTGGAGTCGTGAGTCGTCGTACACGGTCAAATTCCAGGTCACACACACGCATCGCACTGAAGTCTAGGGAAAACACACGACCCCTGAAACACAAAAGTAAAAAGTCATGGTTAAAAATTAAACAAAAAAAGAACTCCTGCAGTCAGTGGGGGAAAAGGCATAATGTACAATGACACTGTTGGCTCACATGTGGCTGTGTCATGGTGACCTTGTATTTGAAAGATTATAATTCCATGAAACCTTAATTTGACCCGAGTGTCCTGGAGCAAGACGACCAAAACCTCTAATTGCTCACTCACTGTGAGTCACACAGCATGACAGTATCAACCACATGACTAACATCTCAAATGCAGAAAATAGAAGGAAGCACACACACCAACATGTATTAACATAATAATCTTAGTTTACTTAGGTAAAGTAAGATAAGATAAGATAAGATAACATAAGAGATTGTCATTATTTATATCAGAAGCAAAACTGCTAAGTCATATGTCGTTTCTGATGTTTTACTGTGAAGCATGATGGCTATAGGAATAGTTAAACATCTGTAGAAATATGTGAGAGGAGGAATGTCAGCAACACTTTAAAGGAACAGACTGACATTTTAGAATATATGCTAATTTAAGCTAAGAATTAGATGACAAGACTGATACTTTTCCCCATGTAGTCTAAATATGAAGCAACCAGATATGAGCTAAGCTAACCTGCTGCTTATGCTTATTTTGTTAATATAATATGTTTATATAAGAGAGACTTTTAAATTAGGGAAGAGGGATCTTTGGGGTTCAGTGGTTTTCCCTTGTTTTCCGCCTTTATGCTAAAGAAGCTAACATGCTGCTAACTGTAGCTTCACATTAGCTTGCAGACATGAGAGTGTTATCGTTCTTCTCATCTATCTCAGCAAAAAGTTGAAAGAGCATTTTTCCAAACATGTCGTGATATGCCTTCACATGTTTCCCTCTTATTTTGTGATACTGACAGTGGTTTTCCTGAGAGTCAGGATAAGCCAAAGAGCAATGTTTTTGCCAAATGCTAAAGTGTTAGCATCCGTCTTAGCAAGTATATAAATGGTGGAAACAAAAAGATGTTATCATGTGGATACAACCTCCCTTAACCCCTCTCTGTCTCAAAAAGCATGGGTCATAGCCCCGTTGGGTTTGTATGTTCTGTATGTGTGTGCATCAGTCTCTCTACATTAGCTCTCCATAGGGCCTCTGGCAAATCCTTTCTGGGTCAGACGTACCACTCACATAAATGTGGGCATCGCAGACTGGCACGCTATGCCATGGACATCAGCCAGACAGAGAGGCAGACACACAAACACACACACCTTAAAACACACATATGCATCCACACCACATAGCCACAGACACATGCAAACTTTACAAAGCACACAGCCTGACAGTGTTAATGGGCTCATTGATCTTTGCCGGGAAACTAATTGGACGTCAAGTCAAAGGTTAGACATTGGGGAGTGTGGGTCCGTCTGGAAATGTGTGTGGGAGTTTCGTTCCCGTGATGTGTGTGCCGTTCGTTCCAGAAAAAACATGTGAATGAAGTGAACGATCTAATACTCAAAAAAGCTGAGTGTGTGTTGTGGACTTGCTGAGTAATATATTTCAATGGCCTGAAGAAGTGAAACCTCATATCATAATGGGAACAGTGATATAAATATTCAGTTTCATCTCCTGCAAGTGCAATTACTGGTCCCTGAGGTCCCATCAGTTTCGGTCCCTTTTCTGATAATGAGGGTAGCCGAGTCCAAAAACTGATATGAATACTAATTATATACAAAGTTTTACGACTCAGTGTTTCTGCTAAATTACACTGTGGCTGCGTCTCGTGAAGAGGAAGTGAAATATGATTTTCTTCACCAAGCAAATGAAGAAACAAAACAGTAACTGCATGGGGAGTGAGTCAGATGACCAGATTACCAGAAAGACCAGGCAGACGCATAACGCAGATATCCTGGATATATCTTTCTAAACTGCATTCAAGCATTTAAAAAAAACTAAGAATCCATATTTTCGGTTTCATGCAGAGCGAGAACGGATACAGAGAAGAGAAAGAACAGTGGAAAGGGTCACCAAGAAACTGAAAATGTGGCAGGAACAAATGAAGTGTGAAAAAAGAACATCCTTTTCAGCACTTCTGGTCAGCCTGTTCTCTGCTGCTCACGTTGTTCTCTTAATTTGTTCTCCATTTGTCCTGTCATCTGTTTGCTCTGTTCTCTGTTTCACAGCTTCTCTCTGTACTCTGTGTATAGAAAAGGAAAGATGCACCTGCTTCTCTCTTTTCCTCGGTCTCACAGCACAGAACAGTTTCTGCCTGGGACGCCGTGATGTGTACGAGTGTGTGTGTGTGTGTGGGTAAAACCTAGTCACTCTCTGTCTCACACACAGAGACAGACGAAGACAGGTCTCTAAAGAGGTCAGTCAATGATTTTCAAAGCCTTTCACAGCGTCCTTTCCCCTCCCTCGCTCCCAGACTAGTTTCTAAAAATAAAATTCCACCGGTTAAATTAAGTGCACAGAGATTCGGTGCTTTCAAAGCCGAAGGCCAATCAAAAACGTGGATAGGGACACGGAGAGGCACTCCCACTCTGGCATGGCTGACACTTTCAAGACCACGCTTGAAAAAAAGTCGGGCCGTTTCAATTTTGTGCACACACACACAAAAGTCAACAGAAAAGGCGACTCGTCCGAGGAGGTTTACAGGAAAGAGACGTGCGAATGGAAAACCCTGACTAGGGAGGGGTGTTTGTATGCTAAAGGTGGAAGAAAAAGGCCCCGAAGGCTAACTTCTTCTAATCATACTGCCTGTGCTGGAGCACCACTTTTCACCATCTTTCTGAAAACTCCCTCTGGAGGGAACACCGGGATTTTAGCCTTTGCAGACCATTTACATGCACACAAACCTGTATAACACACTACAGGAAAGGGACAATTCCAAAACGCATAATAGGTCCTCTTTAAAATAACTCGCTGCACTGTCAAAATGGCTGTTGATTCCCCCACACTGGCTTTACATACACACACACCTTTGAACTTTCTCACGGCTGCACACACACACACACACACACACACACAAGGACCCGCCAGAGTTCCCGTTAGAATATTTTTTTGCCGGTCAACATGTCCGTTAAAGTTGAAATCTTCCGGACAAAATTAGATAAGTGCCGGTTAAAGGTCTTCTTTGTTATTTATTGAGCTTTAAAACAAATTGATATGATTCGACATTAAACAAACTAATTATAGTAGATTAACTACATTATTCAAAAGTGTACAGTAATTTACAAAAACGCGGGAATAATAAACGGAGCGCTCTCTCCTTCTCCTGACAGCCCGTCAGTATCATGCAGCTCGCGGATCCAGTAATGAGTGACCCGACAGTAAAACTAAACATATCTATAACTAGTTTAGGTAGTTTGAGAGGTAATTAAAATAGCTACGTGTGATTTTCTAACCTGAAGTGTGTTTTGCTCTGCTCGCCGCTGCAGGGGATCATGCAGAGCTGCGTGTCGACTCGTCAGCAGCAGCCGATCTCTCTCTCCTGTCAGATTAGACTTTACTCGCATTTATGTCCATATCGATCAGATCTAGCTAGTTCTAGCTAATGATATGACTACCTGCTTGTTAAAAGACACCTAAACAATAAGCGTCGCTATGCAACCGGATGAGGCCACAAAGTATAGCGCAGCATTATGCATTTGTTTACATGCCCACCGGAACCCCGAGGCATTACCAACAGATCAACGCACAATCAACCCATACAGGACATCTCTTTCTCCACATTAAGTGTTAGACATTAGAATTGACAATTTTTGTCTGTCACATACTCTTTTGTCTGTCACATACTATTCTTGTCTGTCACATAAGTGGCGCAACTGATGCGGTATTGCGCTAAGGGAAAATTATTTTGACCGGACATTTTGACCGGAGAGATTTAGATTTGCCGGACTTCAGCATATTTTACCGGTCATTGTCCGGTAATTACCGGCTAACGGGAACTCTGGGACCCGCATACCAGCATCAGTCATGCTATTGTGAACGTCTCAGGCTAGGGAAAAAAAATAACACGAAAGCTCAGTCACACGCACATTCTTTCGACAGATTCATGTACACACGCGCAAACTTCACCCAGTCACGCCTTGATAAGTCAACCCAATCTGCTGACGAAGGCTTGTTTCTCACACACACACACACACACACACACACTCATAACAAGCTTGATGTCATGGGTTGGTGTTATTTCCTCATGTCAGAGCCACCTCAGTTATCTATTCAAATATGGCTCATTTGATATTTTTTTTGCGAACGCCATAAAGACAGTCACACAAAGAGAACAGGAATAAATGTCTCCTGCGTGTCCCGGGTTGTCTTGTTTATAATGTGTGTGTTTTCTTTAGGACCAAAAGTTCACAGTGTCCTTTCTATTTTAAACCTCCCATTAAATGTTCCTCTCAGGGTGCAAATCGTGAAAAAATGTGGCGTGAGATCGGAAGATAACAGAGTTTGACATTAAAAATAACACTTAGTGACACTTGAAAAAGAGATGATGAGTGCTGAGGCAAATCACACACACATCCCACATCTCTTGCACCTCTCGAGGCCCCCGAGGGACATGTGAGGGATCAAAAAAGGGAGATACAAAGACGGAGAAGGGAGTAAAAGAGGGGGAGGAGATGTGCAGGAGGAAATATCCATAAAGGAGGAAGAGGTGGAAAAATGAAGGCAGACTGAGTAATAGGAGCAGAGCGACCCAGACCTCGCCCGACTGATTCATGACATGGGCTGTCTGACACGACACACACACACACACACGTTGTCTGATTATCTTGCCACCGCCTCCTTTCACACACGCACAATCACCACCGGCAAACAAGCTTCTCGTAGACACAACCATCCTTGATTTTCTTTGATTCGTTATACAATGAGGTGACATGGAATCCCCCTGCGATATAAACACACACCCACACACACCTTGGTGTCAGGTCGCTCTGCCCTTGGTACTCGGTGACTCTTTATGTCAGTTAATGACAAGCAAGGCTTTTTATCACCTAGCCGACAAAAGAGGCTCTCTC